GGCAGAAAAATGAGTAAAGGAGTGCATAATGCACTAAGATAGGTGAAAAGCATTATATCGGTTAAGTGTTTCAACTATTGACGCATGTGGGCATATTCTTGAAAGGCCTATTTATAGCTCATCTTGAAGCCCGGGAAATTCTCTATGGAACGACATATAAAGTAGAGTAGAAATCTGTTAGTTTGACTGACTTTGAGCGGAAAATGCAAGACTTAGTGGAAATCACTTGAAGGATTGCTTGGCGTTCAAAAAGAAGCGACACATCTTGATAGGAAACGATGAAATCAGAATTTTCGAGTTATAACTTTGTTCGCCGATTCAAGGCAGTTCGAATGGCGCAAGAATAAAGGCTCTATCTGTTATCCTGGGAGACTTGATGCTTTTTTGGCAGAGGGTATGGTTTCTGTCCGGCCTCAAAAAGCGAATTTTTTGAAAATAAGGGAGTTGATTTCAGTCGGTCGTTGTTCGCAGAGTTGCGTCCTCCATTCGTTGTTCCAAAAGCAGCTTAGTCTCATCGAATGTGTCTCGGTGTTTATCACGAAAATGTTCATCTTTTATTGAAAGCAATTGATAAATATGTTAGAGGAGGAGCTTGTAGTTCATTATAAAGTTTTACAGATTCACAAGTGTGTGAATGAGGAATGTATGTTTTCTTCTTGTCCCTTATGTGATGAAAATTTCGTGGAAAAAGTTGAAAATAAAGTCTCCAACGGTCAGTCTCAAATTTCTTGGTCTCAGTGGGTGAATTTACATGGTCGAGCTGTAAAACAAGAGTTCAACGGAACCATCATTCAGGCAATCCAAGTGCTCAAGTCAAAACGCGAGTATTTTTTGTTTCATGTCTATGTCAAGAGAGAGCAGTCTCGATATTTTGAAAAAGTGGAATCGTTAGTTTTAAAAAAGCGTGTTGTCGTTCAGTGTGACTTTTCTGAGAATTCTGGAATGAAAGATCAGGATGAAATACAAAGTGCCCATTGGAATACAAAGACGTTGTCCATTTTTACAGTTTATGTTTGGGCTAGTGGCCAGGGTTTTTCTTTCTGTTTGCCTACGAGTGATCTAACTCACGATAAATATGTTGTTAATTCGGCGCTTGAGTTACTTCTGAGCTGTTCTGAGCAGTTCACAGTCTGTTCGCTGAACTCTGCTTCATGTTATTGTTCTTTTTCAATCAGTTGTGAATATGTTTGATGTATGAGAAGATAAAAACGACTTAAATCATAAATTGTATTTGTTAATTTAAGAAAATCTTTTGAATTTAATACTAAACGTAATAATTTTAATGGTAAATATGAATTTTTTGGATTATTTAATTGTGTTATAAAATCTGTATAATGAATTAGTTTAGGAGTTTTTGTAACAAATTCTTGCAAATTTGTTTGAAGTTTTGATTTTAAATATATTTGGTTTATATGTGTTTTAAACAATGGTAAATGTTAATAAACCGGATAAAATATTTGATTTTGAAAATTTTCTTCAGCTTTTAATTCTTCTTCTGATGTTCGAAATATTGGCTTTATCCATTGATATTGAACATCATGTGTATTTAATTTTAACATAGCAAATTGTTCAAAACATCGATTTAGAATAAGACATGCATCATCTTTAGTCGAACGTATTGATAAAAAATTCATTGTTGATAATAATCTAGCTCGTATAAAATGACATAAACGTGTACGAACATTTGTATCAACAATACGATAGCGTATTTCATCTGTAGCATCTATAGCATTTCTTGATAAAACTGGACCATACAAGTTTTCTACACTATTTTCATATAATAACACATGCCAAGCTAAACAGCCAAATGTTAAAAAATAAGTAACATAAATTGATGGTATATTCATAGCATTTGGTCGTATTACTCTATTAGAATACTGCATTAAATCACCCGTTTCACGTAAAATACAACCACAATCATAATGGATACCATCCATTCTAATAACAGTGTCTGTTGTTGAACCAAAACCATACGTATCTTGTAATAATAATGGTTGAAATGTAAATATCCAAAGAAAAGTTTCTTTACCACTCAATATTATCATACTGATTAAAT